AACCTTAAAAGTGAACACCTGTGAACCATTTATTAATGAGTTATGGACATCATTAACCTGTGAAAGTGAACTTTAAAGTAAAGTGGACACACTAATCATTTATTAATTATTAATGCACACACAGAAGGTTTTTTTTCTCGGTTAAATGTATTTTATTATTGATGCACTATATCAGTAAACAAAACTACTTAAAGAACATTACTGAGCATAACTGCACATGGAAAGTGGCTTATACAAGTAAACTCACATTAAACAATTCAGAAACACAATAAAGTATTCCAGCAAATTATAACTAAGCACCAAAAATATACATATTTATATTTTATCTAATTTAACAGTTTTAAGTAAATAATTAAATCAATGATTGAAAGCACAGTTACAGAACATTATCATATTAATAAGCAATCAGTAATTACTTTTTGATATCATGATAAAGCCCACTGTAACTTCAGTATTTGTTCATCCACACTTAGTAACGTTACCTGCGCGCGAGCAAACCGTCCGCGGAAGCGCCGGAGCAGTTATCTATTTGTATGGTAACGAATTAATTCAATTAGCAAAACGATTACACATTTAAACACTTGGACAATATACTCTGCAGTGTCACCTCATAGTTAGCTGAGCAGTAAAATGAATAAACACTATGTGAGATTATATTTTTGCTTCAGAGCACGTTGGAACAATCCTAACAGCATGACTTCTTCTTCTTCTTCTTCTTTGAAAACGTGACTTTACATCGGATGCTCGCTTTCGCCATTCACAGGCTTTGGTACGGTGGCCGAGAAGTGCTAAACAAATCACAATTCTGAAATCAAAATAACAAATTACAAACGCAAATGCAAGTTTAAAAAACAAAATAAAAATTCAGAAAGCACAACAACAATTCAGAAAACATTATAACAAGTCAGAAAACACAATGACAAATTCGAAAACAAAATAACAAGTCAGAAAACACAACGACAAATCCGAAAACAAATTTACAAGTCAGAAAACACAACGACAAATCAGACAAACCGGAAAAGGTAGGTATAGTTTCAGACAGCGCCATTGGTTTGGGATTGCTCACCGCTGACTGGACGAGACATCTGTCAATCAACGAATACAGGGAAGAACCAGCCGAAGAACAGCAGAGTCGTGGTAGAAAGTTCGGAGATGGTATTAAAGTAGCTCAGTTTAAATGTATTGTATGAATTACCCTTACTATGGAATAAAAAATACGGAGTATATATTTACATTTAGTTAAAAGTGGCTGAAAGTCATCAGCTCCAGTGGCGCAGATGGACAAGTGCGTGTTCTTGGCGCGATCGACCCGGGTTCGATCCCGCCTTCTGCCGAACTTTTTTT